TTAGGCAAATGGTATCGCAACATCGATGGTGTTTCAGGTTTTACTGAAGAAGCGTTCATGTTATTAAAACTAAAAGCTGATAACGGCAATGTTATTTGCGCGCTGATAGCTGATGAAATGACTTTACGCCAACAAAGTATGTGGGACAGCAATCAAAATCACGGTTATGTTGATATGGGTACTGGTGTAAATAACACTTCTGTATTAGCATCAGAGGCATATGTGTTTTTATTGGTTTGCTTAACTGACCACTGGAAACTGCCTGTAGGGTACTTTTTAGTGCATGGCCTAACAGGATCCCAAAAAGCGAACTTAATATCGCTATGTTTAAGTAAATGCCATGAAGTGGGTGTACGTGTCGTATCAATTACGTTCGATGGACATCCTTCGAATATCTCCGCGATTGAAATATTAGGTTGTCGAATAAAGGATCCCAATAATTTGAAGACTACGTTCAAACATCCTTCTTCAAATGACGAAGTGGCTGTTTTCCTGCTCATATGTTTAAATTGATCAGAAATCGTTTCGAAAGTAAAAAGACTTTTCTAGATGACGAAGAAAATGAAATTGATTGGAGTTTTCTAGAAAAACTAAACGAGTTGCAAGATAAGGAAGGCCTCCAATTAGCTAATAAAATAACGAAACATCATTTAGAGTTTCGTAATAATGTAATGAAAGTAAAGTTTGCTTCCCAATTGTTAAGCAGAAGCGTTGCAATCGCTCTGAAATTCTGTAGAGAAGATTTATATTTACCCGAATTCAAAAGAAGTGAAGCAACAGAGAAGTTCATTTTATTATGCAATAATTTATTTGATATATTCAATGCCAGAGATTTGAAGCAACATGGATTTAGTCATCCCATATATAATGGAAATAAAGATAATATTCTTAATTATTTAGAACTTGCGAAACAATATATTATAAACTTAAATATAAAATCCTCCAGAAAACGTTCTTTTAAAAAACACAACCAGCAAAAGAAATTCATTATTAAAAGCTTTAAGCCTGTTTTAAGTACTCAAGCAAATACTGGAATTAAACTGGAAAAATTTTAGGAACGTTAGTGTGTATTGAAAGTCTCAAACACATAACTAATCTCTTAGATAAGAGTTTATTAAAATTCATTTCATCCTACAAGTTGACTCAGGATCATATTGAATTATTGTTTGGTGAATGCTGGCGGTCTCAATGATAACCCGAATACTAAACAATTTAAAGGCATACATAGAAAACTATTGTGTCACTTAGAATTGAAAACAAGCAATACTGGAAATTACATCCCACTACAAAATATTGCTGTTTTAAATTGCTCCTCAGCGCTTAAATGTATAAATAAAATTACCATGTGTGAACGTTTTGAAGAAGAAGATTTAGTATTATTGACTGCACTAGAAACGGTGAAAGATGAATTTGACGAGATCACAGAATTCTGGGATGTGCCATATATGTCGAATTTTAAAAATCATGTTGTTGGTTATATAGCCGGTTTTGTGGTCCAGCTCTTGACAAAAAAATTGAAATGCATTCATTGTATTGATAATTTAACTGCAAATAATCGTAGTTGGTTTCATAAATTTGTGACATTAAAAGACAGAGGTGGATTATCATATGCCTCTGAAGATGTATATTTAATATGCATGGTTTCAGAATCCATAATACAGAATATAGATAAAGTGTCTCACATAAAGTCAGATTTAATGTATAAAAAAATTGTTATTGATGTAATGAAAAAATTTATTGGGACGGGTTCTAGACAATATTTCGACTTTGACACAAGCCACGTTAATGGTGCTATACATTAAATTAATTTGATTCGGCTAGTAGTTGAGAAGTATTTACAAATTCGTCTTCATTATATATCGAAAAGAGAAAATTTGCAAATATGTGTAAATCCCAAAAGGCAAATGTATCGTAAACTTGTACAAGTTAGTGGAATGTAATTTTAAATAATTAATACCTACTTAATAAATTTTATTCTTTTATTAACCTGTTTTTCTTTTCTAAAGAAGAAACCTACTCCTAACCTATACACAAATATATTTATATTATTTATTATTCGATTTTAATTCATTGTTCATTATTAAGTATTTTCTGAGACAACTAATAGACCACAGCATAAAATATTTTCCCATTAACTCGGGTAACAGTTGAGCAGCTGGTAACACAACTGACAATAGTCAAGTGACGATGTCTTACGCATACTACAATAATGAGTTGCCGCATTCACGGAGCTATTGTTCTTAGATAGCGCGGTATCTAGTCGAGCGCAGCAAGACCAATCATTCATCTATCGGCGCCTCTACGCCGTTGGCCAACACAGTGGCGAATGTAGTGGCCAATAGCATTGGCCAACGTGTAGACGGGGTGTTTGGGCTTCATTGGTATGTATTGGGACGATGACCCACAAGTTGGCGCGAGATCCGTGTGGTGTCGGTTTTTTACAAAAGATCAAAGGATTGTTGGCAGAGTTTGGTCGCCGCGTCCACACGTTGGCCGCGCGTTTAGTTTGCTAAAAGCTCCCAGAGTGACTACACGCATCTGATTTAATTTTTATATTCAAGATTTGTAGGATGGATGCCCCAATTACCAGCCTTTTAGCGCCAATTTCAAATTTAAACATTCCTACTACTTTAATTAGCGCGATTTAATTATTTTTAAACATTTGTTTTAATCGATTAACTATTTATCAAAAAAATAACGAACATTTATTTACAATCAGACTATTGAGAGAACAATTTTAAAATGAAAAAAAAAATGAAGCACGTCGTTTATACGTGGTAGAACCATGCAGTTATATTAGAAGTATAGTTGTAGCACGAATGGGTCGGCGCAACCGGGGAAGGACCACGCTCTCACAGAATATTAGCGTAAAATAGTAGCTTAATGATGCTGTGTTTCGTATGGTGAGTGTAGAGAACCAGAGACCCTTTTTAAAGGAAACGAGGCATTTCATCTTAGTCCTCACGGGTGAGAACGCATATGCATTTTTATTCGTAATAGAGGATAGATGTAGATGTCTGTGGGCCACAGTAACCGCTTACCATCAGGTGCACTGTGTGCTCGTTTGTCACCCTATCCTATAAAAAAAACGTCGACTTCTTATAATTCAATCGTGCAAGTTTTCGAATCATCATCATCATTACAGCTCTTCACAAGTCCACTACTGAACATCCTTCTCCACAGACTGCCGCAAAGCATGGTCCTGAGCCACTTTCCTTGTCATGAGTTTTTCATTTATGTTCTAAGTTATAATTGGTACCTATTATTAAGTCAGTGTTAATTATATTTATTGCTATTGTTTTTGTCTTTAACAAAAAATAATTAAATTACCAAATAAATTATAAGGTGTTTTTTATATATATCAAATGTCTGATAGAAATGCAAGTACATATTTTGCTAAACTTCCCAATTTTAAAACATAGACTAATCGATTATAACTCCTTTAACTTTAAAATAAGTTAAGTTCTTATTAATGGTATTTATTCCAGTTTATGATGCATGTAAAGAATAAATAAAGCTAATCGTATATCTATTTACAGCCCCATTAATATCCACTATTCTTTTATAATTATTTTATAAAAACGTAACCCCCACACTTGGATTTTCTCCTGTATCGCGGAGGCAGCTTGCAAGCATAAATTGCACAAGGACACACATCCAGACCCCAAACAATTATTTGTAGGATATACAAATACATGTTCCGTGCGGGATTCAAATCCGCGGCCCCCGGCACAGCTACTCATTGCTAAGCCACTGCGCCACAGAGCCGTCGTTCGTCCGCACATTGGCCCGAACCGAAGTAAACTGAACGACCTTCCAACGTGTGGACGCCGTCACCAACTCTCGGCCAATATATTCGCCACTGTATTGGCCAACGTGTAGAGGCGACATATGGCGCACTATTATTTTGTTTTTATTTTATAATTTTTTGTTGAAAATGTTTTTCTATTCTAAGAATAAAATAGAATACTGTTTTATTCTTATGGTTATTGTAATAAAATACGAAAATTAATAATAAACACAATTTAGGTAGAAAAGTCGGCTTTAACAATATTGACCACCCTTCGATTTCGTTGAAATTTGGACAGGCCCTTCAACTGTGCTAAACTGACTGTTGTATAATAATGTCCTCTAGACCACATTTCGGTCACGATGGCCAGCCAGTCTCAACGGCGACTAGCTATCTGCGCAGGACAAGATTATAGTGCATGAGTATGTGCGCAATCGCAGTCCTATTACCTCATTCGCATAGTACAATGAGACGGCAATCCAACATGACCGGAGAGAGAGCAAGCGTAGGGCTAACAGCTTTAGGTACGTGCTTTATGGGGCACAGGGTGAACACCATCAACTTCTTGACTTCTGACTTAATAATAAGAATTTCTCGATAAAAAAATTCAATAATCGATTTTGACCCAACCGGGTATTCGAACCCAGCAACTCATGGCTCATCGTAAATGAGGTAGTCACAAAGCACGGTCCTGGCCATATGCACTCAACGACTTACTGGATTACTTAAGAAATCGTCACTCCATCTGCTGATAGGCCGCCCTAAACTTTGCCTAACTGTACGAGGCTGCCACTCGAGAACATATTGTTTTCGGTTGTCGGTCCTTCGAGCTCTATTGCTGCTATTCACTTCAGCTTACTGATACATTAGACTATCGCGGTTACTTGTGATCTGATGGTAAGTTCTAACGTCACAGATTGTAAAGGCAATGGCACAACTTTACTACAACCTTTTCATTGTTGAGTATCGAGTATTGTTACTCGTACTGGCTTTCGTGACAATATCATAAATGACACCTCATCATGTTTATAGTGAATTGGGTAATAAATTATGCAAAAGAAATAATTTTTTTAAATAAACTTATATTTTTAAATTCTAGTAACAAGTCTACTGATTCAATTAAATAACTAAATGCTTGACTAGCTTGATCATTTAAAAAAGATAGTTATCCTAATTAAAAATTTATTATTTTCTGGTAAAAGAAGTCTGTTCAAATAATCATTTTCATCTTTACATCTTCTTTGTTATTACTTGGCTCTTCCTCGTTCCTAAATCTTCCGTAATTGAAATAATCTTCAATCTCCTGCAAAGTTCTGTCTTTTGTCTCAGGCAGTATAAAATAAAGCGTCACTAGACTTAAGCCCATAGCTGATCCGAATACAGTGAATGTACCATAAACTTTGACACTTTCGAGTAAATATGGTGTAATTTGGAGTGCTACCACCATGATGAGAGACATTACAAGACCTGCAACAGCTGATCCAGAACCTCTATGAGCTAATGGTAACACTTCACCTAATAAAGCTAGAGGAATTGGTGTACAACCCAAATTGGCTAATATAAAGTACAATACAAACAACGATATTGGTATCCAAGTATAGTTGTTAGAAATTATTGCTTTAGATACTAGATAAAGGTACGTGCATACACTAAATAAAATAAACAAAGCACAAAATCCAGAAACAAATAGAAGAGTGCGACGCTTGCAAATTTTGACCAATACCGAGGAAAATATAGCGCTGTTCGTTATAATTATATCTAAAGCTAATGTATAATAAAATGATTGAGATTTGTCCCCTGTCACTTCACCAATAATTTGTAAGGCATATGCGGGAAAAATGTGCCGACCGCAAGTTTCAAGTAACAGCCCGCTAAACATTATTATGACTACTGGTTTCACGAAATCTTTCCTCGTAAATTTCTTTAAAAATTGAACAACTTTCTCGTTGAAACTGCTGTTATTTATATCAGCTGGCTTATCCTTTTGAGCTCTTATTAGTTCATATAATTCTTTTTCAGCTTCTTCACTATGCCCTCTTAATCAATAAAACGCCTTTTTACTTTTCTCGAATTCTTTTCTTGAAACTAACCATGCAGGACTTTCTGGCCAAGTAAAAATTATGACAAGGAAAATAATATACGGGAATAGCGATAGTAATGCGACAGTTCTCCAGTGATAAAAATTTCCCAGGATGTGAATCATCATGCCCCCCAAGCAAACGCTGGCTGTTTTTAAATTTAAGTAAGTGCCTCTATTTTTAGGATTTGAATATTCTCCAATAATCACTGCTCCTAGACATACTGAAGCACCACCCGTAAACCCAGTGAATAATCTTCCTATAATTAGTGAAGTTACGCTGGAACCTAAGTAAATTAATAGCCAACCCAAAATGGCAGGTATTATGATTATAGCGTGCGCCATCTTCCTACCTACCCAATCCATGAGGATAGACGATACAAGAAAGCCAGGGATTGAGGCCAGTCCAACCATTGAAGCTGAAATTAATGTAGAATGAGTTAGTTATTTATAATAATAATTTTAAACTAGTTAAATATAACGTACCATCCGAAAATGACTCGAGCTTTTTGGATTTCTTATGTAAATATGTAGAATATGAGTTTGGCTTTTCAAAAGGCTTTTTAAAATTTTAATTCCTGACTTACCACTCGCTTAGCGACTCAAAAAAACTTCTTGAGGAAACCTGCATGTTTGAGGAATAATGCAATTAGGAAACATGTGAATTCCACACTGGAGCAACGCAGTGGACTAACTGCTTCATTTTCCTCTCATTTCAGTGGGACATAATATATAGGCTGTAACGTTTTGTCAGAGCTTGTTCAGTTAATGAGTAGGATGTGTCCCCTTTTTTCTTAATAATAAGTCAGGAAAGGCTTACATCCCCCTTTCAATTATCCTTAAGCCTCGTGAAGATATCATAATGAAAGGTATTTATACCTAGCCAAGATGCTGTATTTAAATCTACTTTTATGTCGGAGTCTGCGGCCTGGATTCCTGGCAGCAGACTGGAGGGGTAGCTTAACATCATGCCTTGAGCTAACATGTTGATGAGGACTGCAGATATTGCCCATGTCTAGAACAAATCAACAAAAAGTAAATATTTCTCCAACACCATCCATCAATCAAAATGTTTGTTTTTGTTTAGATATTGATTTATCAATAAAACAACGTATTTTATGACGAATCTTTTCAATTTTGCTGGTGTTTGTGGAAATGAGAATCATGGGGGTACCATCGACTTATATATTTATTTATTTATTTATTTAAGGACCGTGCCACACTTAAAAGAACCAGTAGCGACTGCCTAAAATTACAGTTTAGGGCCAACGCGAATCGTCTACTTTCGACGATTTCCGGTCATAAAATCTAGTATGCGTGGTAAAATAATGAAAAATTACGATGAAAGATTTAAAAAAACATGAAATATCGTATAATGGTAAATACAAAACCTAATTTTAATTGTTACAATTAAATTATTACATACACGCATTTACAAATTTTATTTTACAGTTAATTTAGTTACGTTACCAGATTAGGCCAGGGCTGGATTCATATCCTCAAAAATATTGTACATGGAAAATAAAATTATACTATTTTAAAAAAATTATATCACTTTTGACGTTTCATGTTTCTTTTTTCCCATGTGCCAGGATTTTGGCGTCACGCGTCTAGTTTACTATGTACTACAAACTATGAAAAAATGGTACAATTAGGATAATTATACTACGAAATCCGACCCTGGTTACGTCGTGTTTTGATATGACGTTTGTATTATGACAGATGCGCTACTTTTTCTTGTATGAAAAAGTTATGAGTAAAATATTTAGATGGACCTATCCTTCCTTTTGAAATCATTGGGGGGTACGAATTCAACGAAGTACTTGAGATCCTGGCCTAGTACTCGTTTACTAGGATTTAGATTTGATTAACTTCTTAACAAGTACCAAATTACAGAAATACGAAAAAAAGGGCTAACTCGGCACGTAACTAAATCACAGATGCCACATCTAGTTATAAAAATTATTTGCGCTAGAATATCTGAATTTTTACCTGAAGTTTGTGCTGCAATATCCATGGCTTTAAAGGATTAGGAGTAAGACACAAAAAGCAAAGTTTTTCTATTAAACTTCTTTACGCACGCTTGACTTGGGGAGTAAGCTGTCGAACTCGTGACGAAAGCGTTACGAAAAGTGTGATCGGGCGAGGCAAACGGGAGCTGAGTGGGGGATATAAGCAAGAGTGCGCTCACACATTATTTTTCTCTCTTTCTCTCATAGCCAGGTGTTTTCGTAATTTTATTGTGTTTTGAACAATTTTATGAATTAATATTTTGCTCAAAACATTAAATATCCTACGTTTAAGGTGAATAAAATTGTAAATTCGTTTTAAAGTTCATGTTTTGTGAATTTTCAAATCATAGAACGAAGCCGATAATAAATTTAAATATTTGTAGAAAATTAGAGTTTTTATTTCAGTCGTGTGATCATAAGCACACTTGTTTTTTTTTTCTTCTCCTCAACTCGACATATTGAGGGTTTTATAATTTTAAAATTGATGCAGCAACTGTCGCAGATCGAGATCGATACGATAATAGCATGCTCATAAGCAAAGCTTAACTTCGGTGATCGGACGAGTACCGGTGTATTCACGGACGCGCTCGGAGCACGACCCCTTCTACCCGCGTATCAGTAGCATGCTGGAAAGTCAAACGTCTGTTGATTTTTGAGTACGCTCAATATAAGCATGGTCATTACTATCAATGTTGCGACACACGTGCTACTAATGAGCACTTGCTCAATATAAGCATTTAAGCTCCGTCCATATGCTTCGTGATTGTCACAAACACCTAACACAACAAACAAAGTCCCTAATATCGACCACAATCACCAAACACAAGCAGTCGTCCTCACGCTTGGCGAACGTGTCAGTATTTTCTGAATCGGCAAACATGACAGACTACGAGCTTGTGGCAGTTATCACTTTCGGGTTTACCTATTTTTATTTTAAATTTAAATAAAATGGACTCAAAAGAAGAAGACGAAGGCGATGGTGGATAATAAAAATTCACAAAAATCGTACACAGTAATGGTAATATACGTAGCAATACAAGTAGTGTACAGTCTATTATTTAATATTAATTTTTTTATGTATAGAAGATTTACCGCCTGCAAGCTCGCGCGCCACACTGATGTTTACCAAGCGTTTGGAGACATCGCAAACTGTTTGCCAAACAGCCTTTGATTTGTGAAGAAAAACCGACGCCGACGCCGAACAGTGGCGAACTCAAACAGGAACAGGCAAACACATACAAACACCCATCCACATGTTGGTGTTTGCAGTTTGTTATTGTTTGCCAAGCATATGGACGGGGCTTTAGGCATTAAGTCCGCCCTGTGTATCCTTTTTTTTCTAAGGGGACGCAATAAAGATTTTTTTTAAATAAAATAAAATAAGTCTCAGTACACTGCGCAGAAAAATTTAAAAGAGACACGATACACGTTGCGTTTTAAACGCTGATTATGGATTTAAATAAAAGAAGCCAAGTCTGTGAGACATGTAGCAAACAATTTTTGACGTCTCCGTGGCGCAGTGGCTTAGCAATGAGCGGCTGCGCTGGGGGTCGCGGGTTCGAATCCCGCACGGAACAAGTATTTGTATGGCCTATAAATAATTGTTCCGGGTCTGGATGTTTGTCCTTGTGCAATCTATGTTTGTAAACTGCCCCCCGCGATACAGGAGAAAATCCTAGTGTAGGGGTAACGTTTTTTGTAAAAAAAAAAAAAAAAAAAAAATTAAGAATCTAATATTATTAATTATTATCCAGGTGACGTATACGAATATTTAGTTAATGAGTGCATTCTGTTAAAATCTTATTTACTACAGTCTAAAACAGTCTTACACCTCTTGTAATTAAATTTTTATGCTAGTTTATGAAAATAAACTTTTTGATGTTTTCCCTAATTGCTGTCCCATCTTAACCTGTTTGCTGTAATACTTTCATAACATTTTTAATCACTAGCTGTAAATCGGAGCGCTCTTCCATCCAGGATGTCGTACATACATAACAAATATACGACAACGATGTCGAACTATCGACTAAATCATTTATCAGTCCTTTCCGTAAATTGCGATTTAACAAAGGACTTATAGCATGATGAGCAAATAAAGGAATTTGCAGCACAAAAATCGACAATGGTTGCTTTATAATTTACATAAATTAACCACAGATAACCTGTCAATTTATTTGGCAATAATGGCATAGGTACGGTTGCTGTTTGTATACAACACTTTGTTACGAACATTAACGTCATATTATATAAATATAATATTTTTGTCCTATTTTTCCTATACCATATAACTACATCATTATAGAAAACAGTTTTTGACAAAATGGCAATTACTTAAGGAATTAAGTAGGCCTCTAAGTAGTGTTTAGCTGAGGGCCCACAAATTCACGATCCGCCCCTGCCTACACAGACGGAATTATAGGAGGAAAGGAGTCCTTCCATTTAGAATCTGAAAAGTTCAGGCGGACTACCTACATAGAAGTCACTTGCAAATGTTAGTAATAATAAATCCTTATTTACCTGCTTAGCAACCGGCGACACCATATTGTACCTTTGTTGAAATAGTCTCCAAGAACAATAAAATGAAAGCACACTTCATGAACGCAAGATTTAGACTAAAATAGGTAAACACCAAAGAACAGTTTAGTTTTATTGTCTATTAAACAAAGATTAGATTATCAGTTTTTGTATTTTATTTGCGCTTCTGATGCGCCATTAGAAGATAGTTATTAGTCTACTAGCTTTTTCCCCCGGCTGCACACTTTTGTTTGCAACTTGTAACGCTGGAGTTGAAACATAGTTATAATGGTTTAATTACGTAGCTTTAGTAATTTAGGATTTTGTGTAGTGGTCAATTTATCATCATCATTATCATGTTCTTTGTAAATTTGTTTGTGGTGTGCAATAAAGTATATTCATTCATTCATTCATTCATTCATATCATCATTACAACAGAAATCTAAAATTAAAACATAGACATGATAACGTGGAATACGGATGATACAAAACACTAGGTTGAGATACATTAACAACAGATGCAGAAACATTCAATTCTGTGGTTTTATCTATTAATTTACGCGCGTTTAAATCAACTAATAACTTGTGATACGATAAAACTCCACCAACCACTACAATCTTTCTCAAACAAACAAAAATCGCCCACAAAAAAATGAAAAATTACAGACCTAAAATCCTACTTCTTCTTTTTAACCATAGTTCTCCTTTCGGGGCCGGCGGGAACCGCTACGGTGCCTGGACTGCGAATGACGCCGGTTGCGATCAGGGGTGCGAGACCGCAACCTGTGCTGATCGATCTGATCCATGGTAGCCTTTATGTTAGCCAGCTCAGCCCTGGTTGAGGGCTGAGGTGGCTAAAATAAAAGCCACCTCAGCCCTCAACCAGACCAAGTCAAGGGCAGCCGAAGATGCCGGCGCTGGTGCGGTGTAGGTAGCGGCGGCGGCGTAGGAAGGCCGCATAGCCTCCATAACGTTGTTGGTGACTACTGCTAGGTTTTTCAGGTCATTGGAATCAGGCACGGTGAGTACGGGTCGCTGACGATTCTGCCACAGCACGCGAAGGGTTTCATCAGGAACCTTGTTAGTAGCGAGTTAGTGCATCCGACGGAGCAGCTGGGATGGTCTGTGCTCGCCCAGCTCTAGCTAGCTCATGAGCTTCTCGATCTGCCTCGACATTGACTCCTCATAGATGTGGAGCAGCCGAGCTTTAAGTACGTCGTACTTGCAGGTAGGAGGCGGATTTAGTAATATGTCCATCACTTGCGCGATGACCTCCTTACTTAGCTTGGACACGACCGGGTCAACTTTCGCCTCATCGCCCATTATCTGAGGTACGAGGATAGCTTCTGTGCGTACGAACCATACGCGCGGCTGGTTCGTCCAAAGACACTGAATATATAACTGGCGCCATAATGGGTGGTGGCGCGGGCGGCTTGATGTACTGGACGGTTGGCACGTTCTGTGACGTTGGCGGAAGCGACACACTCATGTTACTTTTATAAATTGTCCGTCCGATCACATCAGGTCGGGGTCACCAGTTTGGGAGTTGACTCCATAGGGGTCCCTACGGGTGACCATAATAAAAGATGGAATAAGCTTTACGAATATTTATTATAGAGGAACGTGCAATACAGTTGTCAGGCAACTAGTGACTGGTTGAAAAATCTTATTAACTAAGTAGATAGGTACAACATTACTAAGTTTACATGTGTATGTGCGCACCGACACTGGCTTTAGGCCATTTAGACCGGAACACATCAGTGCAAGTAAGAGCCCAGTGAGAATAGCCTCCCAAATCAAAACCCCAAATATTTAACTGAAAAAAAAACAAAATTGTAAATTTTTACATACGTTTTGATGGACAGACAGATAATATTGTTAAAATGGTTCTTTTGGCATCTTATCTTAAGTTTATAAGCCCCCACTATAATATATTTTAAAATTATAATCAGTACACACTACACAGAGATAATATCATTACAGTTTTATTATATAATAAAACTGTAACGATATATATTATATATAGATAGAAAAATATTTTCATGTTGTTTAATTGTCCTAGTCCGACATTTTATTTAAAATCAAATTAATCGTCATTCATTGCAGTCTATCAACTCCATGGGAAAGCCGTATTGGTACAACAAACCCGCTTGCCACCGGCACTAAGATGATATGTCTAGGATACATCGGTTAGCGAGTTCAAGTTTACCTCGGTCTCAGTTGCTCGTGAAGCAGCATACACGCCACTATAATAATCCTTTTCAAGTCCCATTTCTATTAATATAATGCTTTTTCTTATTTGAGACCTTCCACACATTTGCTTTATTTCATAGACCTTACTATTATATGTCTTTAACCCTTCAATCCCCATAAAAATCCAATGCCGTCGCATGCGTCCGGCATATCCCGAGCGGTCGCATGCGACCGCACCCACCCACAGCACTTTAAACCATTAAAACTTATATTTAGAGACTACTTTTCTGTGAAGAAGTTTGGCATTATAAAATCTATACAAAATTCTCTAGTGCTGTGGGTGGGTGCGGTCACATTTGACCTCTTGAATTTTGACGGAATATCGAAGCGGTCAAATTTGAACGCTTGCCGTTTGAGAGGTTACATAAAGGACTTCAACCCATAACTTTACTATCATAATGCTTATGCATCAAAGAGACCTATAATAATGCTTTTGTATCATAGACCTTATTATTATATGTCTTTAATATATGGGACTTCAACCCGTAACTCTAGTATCATAATGCTAATGCATCAAGGAGACCTTCTCTAATAATGCTTTAGTATAATAGAGCTTACTATCATAGGTCCCTAATATAGGACTAGTCATTGTGCTACAGTACTTCAAGCAGTCGGGCACCCGACCATCCCATAATATGTACGACCTTGGGTCAGTGGCGAAGCTAGAGCTCCAAGCTAGGGCAAGCCCAAGATATAAATTGATAAAAATATAGATTGTTGTTTTTAGCAGTTTTATAAAAATACACCAATCTTGATCTGTCTCCACGCTTCAGTTTCATATTCAGGGTTTGTTTAAGCGAAAGAAAAAAAATATTTACATCCAATACAATACATGAACAAAAGTAAAACACGAACAAAGTACAAACAAACTATGTACAAAATTAAAAAAAAAACAAATTATTTACATTCTAATGGATAAGAGATAAGATAAGATAAGTGGAATCGTCTCGCTTTCTTACGGAAAGATTTAATTACGTCCACGTAAAATGTTGGTGAACGTTTTAATTGTACCAATAACTGTTTTTAATTGCGATAATTGATAAGTCTGAAATACACTCTTAACCTTGTGTATTATCTCAACAAAGTTTAAAGATTTCCTCTCCGATCATCACTTTAACACACTTCAATTCATCACAAGGAACACTATTATCCTCCATTTTCATTAAAAATCTTTAAAAAAGCATAAATTTTGAACTCGTAATATTAAATCGCTTAAGATAAGTACACAGAGTAAATAAACATTGAAACGTGAAATGAACTTGCAAACGTATTGCCCGCGCGCCTCCGCTTTTAACAAATTTATTCCCAAAAGCCTGGCTTTAAATCTCTATACTAATTGCTATATATACAATCGTAGTTATATTTCATTATAGAATATTTTGCCATAGGTTAGAAAGAGAGCGATCGTCTTCTCGAAAGCCCTGTAAAAAAGCCCACGCGAGCGAGGGAGACAACTATTAGCTCAACTAAAACTCATTTTTTATGACAGCAGCAGTATCACTAAGGCAATACGAGGTCATCGTTCGACATGTGTCGAACAGTGGAGTGCGCGGGAAATTTGAAATAGCTTGAAACATTTTAAGAGTTATTTTATTAGTTGATACTATTGATTGATTCAGGTTTAATAAGGCAATCCCGGCTTTTCGGCTTTAATGGAAGTTTCATCACTGCCTTGGGTATCCGTCTCCAGCAGCTCCTCCATACAGGCCACCTGAACACCCTCCATAACTTAGACAATTTTTAACCAATTTTCCAATTATCTTATTATCTTTATTTTTAAAATATTTTCGACTTGTATTTCTATTATTTATCACATTTTGAATATAAGTTTTTTAATAAATTTATTTACTTTAAAAGACAATATTTTGCGTTAAATTTACTAATACGTACTTAAATTGCGACGGACCTCGACAGTCTTTTTAAAAACACAATTTAAAATATAACATGATTTAATGTTCTTCCGAAGGTGGTTAGTTACAGAATGAATTAAATTTTATGTTAGTAAAATATGTCTAAACTATTATCATATCGTCACTGGATATGTGTGGGAGTTGTTTGTCTTACAATACACAGAAATCTAGCTTGGCTTCTTATGAAAATGCTGATGTGGTTGTTTGGAATATTGAGCCAGGGACGGATTGAGGCGATATAACTCCTCCCTCCAGAAGTTCGGGATTATCCTCGGGATTATCCCGAGTTTTCCACATTTTACAGATTTTAGCCAATTTATGTTTAAAAATAATACTTAAAATAATCAATATTATAACTAAGATTATAATGTTCACTAAGCTAACACTTTTATTAGTAATTTCACTTTGTTCATTTTCACTTAACTCACTATTACTAATTTCTCCCATACTTCTCTGCAGTAATAAGTTCAGGAACTGTACGTCTGCTATATTAATTCCATCGAGGTTCATAGGCTTCTTGACGAGTCGAATACTATCTTTGGTAAGTTTATCATTGGCTGTTTAAGGAAAATTATTTCTTTAGTCTGATGTCTTTTCAGTTCGTATCCTTTGATATTAACCTTGCAGTTATCATCCATAGTCAAGAGATAGGTTCCTAGTAGAATCTCCTGGCTTTCTTCACTGTCGCAGAATTTAGTCAGTTCAGTTTCAGTATTTGAGTAAATTATCCAGCGGCTTGGTTGTATGAGGTAGATCTTCACATTTTCAAGCGTGACAGGGATCGAGTGACAACTTGAGATATTTGTGTGAAATTGCATGATTTCTACGACACAGTTGTCATCGGTGAAGGGTTGTATGTCGTTC